AATTTGTTGATAACTATGTCTATAAAATGCTTTCGGATTCGGATTTCAACAAATCCGAAATTCAAAAGCAGTTTATCTCTTTGGTGTTTTGTTTTATTTTTACATATTTATCAAAAAAATGTTACTTAGATATAGAGCTTTATATTGTAAAATTATTTAACACTTAAATGATTTTTAAGTAGCTTAAAAAGCGTTTTTTGTGAAAATCCGGATTTTCCGATTCCCATCACTAATACCTAGTACTAATATGAAACAATTTCTGAACTATAATAATATAAATATACATAAGTACTACAATACATTTTAACATGTCGATTAACTTTTTAACAAGCCGATTTCGGGTGAATTATTTAACAATCGCTTTAACAATGTGTTAAGGCTAACAAATGTCGATGAAACCCAGTTTTCATTAACTAGTTGTTAAACATAACTTACAATAAGTTAAATTCTTAACAAATGTTGGTGAAACTGGCTGACAGAGTTTTCAAATATAATGTTAGCTAAAAAATCTTTATTACATTAATAGTTCAAAATGAGTTTCTGTGGTCAAGTTTAAAGAGCTTTTTGATGGTAATGTTAAAAAGTCGAATAGCAACCATAATTTTTGATTAACCTAACCATGTTGCTATTTGACTTATTGAAGTTTCCTTTTAAAGTACTAATTTTAACTTGAACACTGGAAACTACTATTGTCGTTTTTATATGGAATTCAGTAACCACATCGTACTTGGATCAATATCGTACTTATTTAGCTTAACCCAAGTGCGTTGGATCCGTGGACTCGTGCAAAGAAAGAGCCTGCGGTTCGACAAAGGGCTGGCCATAAGTCACCGTCTCCTATAGCTGATTTGTATTGTGTTGCCGGCATTTGGGTGTTGTATATATTAATATAGGTCTTCTTGCGGTTAATTTGACGGTATTGTTCGGTTATACCTTTGAATTATAATAATCCCCTCGAGTCAAACGCACCATATCAAACGTGTACGGATTTCCGTCAGGCTGTAGTATATAATATTTACATAACCGAACACCTAAATCTGCCGCCACTCGTATCCTATCCATCTAATAATTCGGTATAATAAAAACTGTAAACTTTTCACCGTTATCTATACTACAAACCGCAAAAGAAAACCGAGGTAGGGAAAAAAATAACAACAACGGTTAGGGTCGTGAACCGATGCACCTTGTAATATAATATAATAGCTAAGGTTTTCGGCTAATTATGTCGCCCAGATCAGATTGGAAAAGTTAGGCCAAACATACAGTCTGCAAAGTTAAAACATTAACCCGCCGATCGGTTATCTCGGCACGGTACTATGGCAACAGCTTTGGCGCCTTTCTATATCCAAGACATGGACCGTGACTGTGCGCTATTAATAATTGCAATCGTCCGAGTTGCCAAACCTCCATCATTACCCGTGTTTAAAATTACTCACTGCCTTAGAACCGGGTCGATATTCTGCTTTAGTCGTCGGTCGTTCGTTTTACAGCTCATAAAAAAATCTTGTGTCCAGATAAATAGACAAGTGAACGTTAAAAGACACATTCGGATAGGTCAGGTTAGAAAATAATTACAATTTTGTAGTTTTTCTTTTTGAAAATATTTTACTCATACATTATCTTTTATATGATCTATACTAACTGCAACGTTGGTCGGACCATAGTTAGAATTTCCCTATAAAATATGTACAGAGTGATCAGTCTTACATCAGATGGAGCACCCTGTATAGTAAAATATATGTATGTTCATTAAACAGCTAAAAAAAAATGCTGTATTTATACTCACCAACAATTTTGAATAAATACCTTTTTGTTGTTCGAACAATGACTGTGAACCTAAAACAAACGAGAAACCAGTTAATTCCTGCGGCCAGATTAGTAGACCATTTTAGATTGGACGATCAAAGTTTACTAAAGCGATCCGTTAAAACCGGCAGGTTTAATTTTGTAAACACAAAAAAATATTTAACAATTTTTTATACTTTTAACGACACTGTCAAGTAGACACAACGACGGATGAGGATTATAACGTGTCGGTGATTTTTTTTTTTGACTTCATAATATATTTTTATTTTATTTAGAGGGATGTTTTGTTCGGCATGTAAGGGCAAAGGGTGGTGTTATGTGGAAACCCTGTAAAACAGTGTACGTGAGTTGAATTGCGACCGACCGTCGTAGTTGTTTACAACATCAATTATAAATTACTCGACCGAAACAAATGTGAACCGACAATCTGTTCGTTTGGAAAACCACAAAAATACAATTTTAAAAAATAATGTGCCCTAAGTGTGACCCGGCGGTGTGACTTCTTTGCGATGAAAATGTAATAGATATATATATATATATCTCTTTGAATTATTTTGGTCTGTTTCAATCCACGGTTGTCATGTTGGCCAGATACGGTTAACTCGCGTGCACTGGCTGTGTGTACTGTGTAATGTGTGTACACATATACATAGGTATAGTGGCTATCATCGGGGGAAGGTAGCAGGCCGAGGATAGGGTAAAGCAAGTGTTATACTGTCGGTCGGCTATCTGCAGCTGACACGCAGCCTCCCTCGCCCACCTATCCCGGTTCATCCCTGCTACCGTTCCCGTTTCTCCTGGCACCCTACTGCGGGTGGTGTCGCCACGCGAAACGGTCGTAAATTTAAAACATCCCCGGCACGACAATTGGTCGGCAGATCGTTATTGTATAGGCCACGTTTGCCTTTTCTTCTGGTCGTATATTTTTTTACTGCCTCATACACCTCCCCTCCCCCAAAATGCCGCTCTTATAGACTTACACACTTATCATACTTTGTGGCTTTCTGTTTTCTGTGCCGTATTTCCTAAATATTTAAACAGATTTACACACCTTTAGAATTATTTACACATTTCAGTAGATTTGCTGATGTAGAAAACCAGAGGAGGCTAAGCAAATGCGATTGGAACACATAAGGGTGTGTTGAGGTTGTACGATTGGGTTGTGTCTTGTGAGAGAAGAATACGAACAGTTAAAATGAAAATGCTAAAATATAATAATTATTGTCAACGAGTCAATGTTTTGTTGATTTTACATAAAAGGAAATTTCTTAAATAGCCGCACTGTTAATAAATGTGCAAACAGCTTTCATTGACTAAACGCGATTTTCGTGAAATAAAAGGAAAGCTTATTGAAATATTATTAATACACTTTTTAGTATTATTAATTGTAAGTTTATGTGGAAAATTGTAGTTAATATAACTTTACAGACTCTCGCCGAAATTAAAACATTATTTTGTGAGACTAATAAATTAAAAAAATTATTATATTTCACTGCTATTTGACCTAAACAACGTTTTGTTTCGATCTCCCAAGATTATCCATAGTACCATTCCGTGTGTACCATCAAGCTACCCATTGCGCATACATACTATCTATTTGTTGATTATAAACTAACCGTGTTAGGTTCGATTTTAAAAATTATTCTTTTTGGCCGCGTCTCGCCTCGTTCGAGCATTCTCTTTGCGGCATCGGTTGCATAGGAATCCACCGGATTACAAAGGGGTTGAACCTACCCGAAAACGCCCAAGACCTGTAAAATATGAACACGATTACGTGACCGGATTAGGCGATGATAAGTGGCTATTTTCACTTGCGTCGTGTTCGGACACACGTTGTACTTGAGGGGGGAAAAATACCTGAGTTTGTTAAACAGAAAGCCATAACGTAAGCTCAACCGCACGCACGCGTTGCAAAGAAGTTGCTTTCGATTGTTGAATTTATTTTTTGGCCGGGTCGTTATTACATAATGTATATAGCATTACCAGAGCGAGAGATACTCGAGCTGATGTGCTTACTGAAATCAATTATTTGGTAAAAATGGCGAATACGAACGGAGCGATGGGTGTAATGTCTATGAAAGGAAAAGCCCCTTGTTGATTTATGGCTGACTTTAATGGACGGAAAACTTTGATGAACATTTTCTTGTCCATTAAAAAAGATACATTTTTCCTCGCACCGCTACCGAGAAGTAGTTCTCGAATCGTTGCACATTGGACCGTTTTATAATGCGCGCCTTCAGAATGATATGAAACGAGCAAGACGAGGGCGGGATATTATACAAAAATTGCATTAAGGGGTGTCATGATTCGTTAGCCATCGTGGGACCGTACGTAATGGAGTAACAAACTGCAGACCCGAAAACAAATATATTCGAATAAATCTATCACAGAAATTGATTGACTAGAAAAAATAAATATATAGTTCAGCTGAAAACTTTTAACTAAACGGTTTAATTTGTATTTTAATATCAAGTTTTTCCAATTTCGTAGCAGAAATGTTAGATATATTATCAGTAACTGACAATTTGATGGCATGTGATTTTATCAACTGGACGTGCAAGCTAGAACAAGTCGTTGAGAATGTAAGATTTATGTTTTACAATATTGTTCACTCCAACGCAAACACAAAAGCAAAATGGTCCGTTCGCCATAAACTCAACGACTCACAAAAAAGAAATCAAACATTTTATGATCATTTTCTAGTTATAGTACTGCTGCTATAAAATTCCAACAACGCGCTGGCAAACAGGATGATCGTTTCATTTAAATACGTTTTAAACATGGAACATGTTGACACAAATTGAGAGAAGGAATTAAATGGGAAATAAGAAGATAGAGCATATAACAGTTATACAATGTTGGTTGATAGGAGAGGCCAAGTTAATATAAACATATAACTATGACCGTTTTATATTTTATCAGCTTGTCCCAATTTTTAATCATGTTTTATAATACTTCAGAAACTTTGTTCAAGTTGAGATTTCTTATTATGATTTGAATATTGTAAAAAAAACAACACAAACTAAAGTGTCTACAAAAGAAAAACTTGGAAATTGCAGCTGTTCTGAATCGCCCTGTATATTGGCCGTTGGCCCTTGACCGTTGATCGCCCAAAGTGGTTATCATCGTTATCGGTGAACGAGTTCGCTGTTTGATGTTTCCACATCTTTTTCCCATTACAATAGCTGATAATGTTTCTCAACGGTCATTCTATAGCTAACATGTGTTGTTTGTCTACACTGTACAGACAGTTCACGTCCCGACCGCGCTCCGAATAGACAGGTATCTTTTTTTAAAGTAATTTTTTTTTTGTACATTTAAACATGAAAAACTCGGTTCTGCCGGCCGTCGCCGTGGTTGTTTTGGTGATCTCAAATAACGTCAGCTGGGGCGTTGTTAATGGAAGCCAGGGCGAAAACGACGACCTGAGAGGTACAATCGAGAAGAAGTTAGGCGCGTTGGGTAACTTGTCAAACATGGAACAACGAATCAACTCTTCCATACCGGAGACGGCTCTGGAAGACAGTGAGAAATTGTTCAGAGAAAAATGCCTGAGAAACGGCAAAGACAACAACTCGTACGGACTAGCCGTGGAAGCCAAAGAACGATTTCAACTGTGCGTACAATCGTTGGTCAACGTTAAAGAACTGAAAAAAGAGATCGACGAGGCCAAACCCAAAGGCGACATAGACTTGGTTTTCAAGAAGTACTGCAAGAAGTCGCCGGACTTCAAGAGCTGCGTGTCGAACTTCGCGTCCGCCGTGGAAGTCTGCCTGGACGATGGCGAAAAAGCTACCAAGAACACTCTGCTGACCGTTACCGACGCTCTGTTGGAGTTCGTTTGCTACGACGAGGGCGATCGCATAGCGCTGTTCTACTCGGAAAGCGGACCCGAATGTCTGATGGGCAAACAAGATGGCATTCAACGCTGTCTGAACGCCACGTTCAGCAAGTACACCGCCAACAACGACTTGCCACCGTTCAAATTCGAACGAGACCAGTGCAAGAGCATGGCGGACCTTCAGTTGTGCGTAGATGCGCATTTGACGAAATGCAGTAATCTCACACCGTCCAATATGGTCGAGTCGTTGTTTAAGTTCATCCGTCGGTCAACGCCTTGCTCGCAACTGAAGAATTAATTGTAATCCGCACATTTGCCGTTAGGTCAATAATCATTACACTTGGTGAGGTAAACCAATCTATCGCTATGATACACGTCTTTGTCGTTTTCCAGTAAATAATATTCAAAGATTGCGTGTTGCCTTACCTGAAAATTGATAACTTGATTTAGGATAATTTTTTTTTTTTTGTTAAAGAATTGCAATTTCGTTGTACAAATCAATTAATATTGAATTGTAATATTAATATAACGCTTAAAGCGATTTTAAATAGGGTGTTCACCATTGTTGTATTTGTTAGTAGTTTTGTGATATTTGTATATTTTATAGGTTAATCAATAGAGAAAAATTCTTGTATAAAAATATGGTCATTCATTTAGTTTTACAAAATTCATTCCAGTTATCAACATACTTATTTTTATGTGGTAGAATAGCCATACAAATTTATATGTTACTTTTTTCAACCTTTTTGGGAAAATACAGTGTTTTTAATCGATACTGAAATTCTAAAATTGTTTTCTATAAGTAATATATTTACAATTTTTAATTAATTTTTCAATGAGATATTGAAGAAAACTAATGAACGTCACCCATAGGAATACATTGGAATTATAATTTTCTGGTTTATGATTATAATATATGGAAATATAATTTATGGTTTAAACATAATATATACTTATATGTTTTTAGTTCTTACCACATTATGTTAGTAATTTATTAAATATTGTAATACTTATGGAAGCTCAGTATAGTTATTATTTTTAGTTTTTATTTAAAGAATAGGTACTAATGGCTAGTAAAATATAAATTTGTTACAAGAACAAAAGTACAAAAATTACAACAATAGGTTCATCGTAATGACAGCTTTATAATTTATTTGTTAGTATTTAATTGTAGGCAAGAGGTTAATATGCTGGATGTAAAGCCAGATGAACTACACTCAACAATATTAGATGCAATTAAATCTAGGGCCAAAAGTTACATTGGGCCACTTTGGGGAACTCTACACGGGTACATTTTATATTATAAAAGTTGCATGTTATATTATATTATATGTATAGGTAAAAATTGTAATTATCTATCATTATTTGTGTTGTAATATTTTGAAAAACACATTAAGTCCATTGCGGCGTGCATCCGGGCAGAGGGAAGAAGTGCGTTGGTTGCACAGATGTTTTTGCAAATTGTCCGTTTAAAACAATAATTCGTTTTAACCCTCAGCTGTGGGGAAGGAGGGGCGGAGGAAATATCGCCGTAGTTTCTCAAGTGGTTTAGCGGTTTATATATAAATGCCGGCGCATCAAAAGTTGAACGCACAAACAAACTGATTAATGTGACGTCATTAGGGAAGTGGGATAATTCGGCGGGAAAAATCCCGGGCTAACAGAGATGATTTATTCTTCAGGGTTGTTGTATTTCCAGAGTCCTCCTTTCCCCCCCCCCCCCCATCGACGACACAAACAGTCTACCCCCCCCCCCAACCCACATTAGCGGGGGTGTTTAGCATTCGTCTCATTAGACTTCCCGGTCCTCCTTACCCGTTTATGCGGCCTGCCCGAGAGGGGGAACAGAGGGGTAGTGTCTTGTAAATGATTGCCTCCCACCTTTTTTTTAAACTTTTATTTCGGATAATCTGCCCATTTGTCCCGGCCAAGAACCGCGGTCTCCAAACCCCCCGAAACTAGATGGCGCATATACAAATAATCCCTCTTGAAATCACCCTCTACATAATCGCCGCACGCCCCGTCCTTATCGTCCAGACCGTGACACATACACAAGTCCAAATATTTTTCTGGGTTACCGACACTCGGTCGATTTAACTCGATCCGTTTACTTCTCTTTACCACCAACGTTAAAATATAATCCAGACCATCCATACGGGATTACAGTGTACCGGTGAAGGGTATTAGGCGGCCGCGTTCCTGTTTTTCGGGGTGTTATTTATTATTCGCAACACTTGTGTTTTCCACGTTAAATAACACAACAACAAATCGTATCGACGGTTTAAATGCCGACACAAAGAGACAGAACATATATTATTATCAGAAATCATGTATCCGAGTCACTAGGTCAGGATGTAATGCGTGATCCATGGTCCAATTCATCGTTGGAGCAAATTTGTCTAAGCCACTACAGTACACAACAATTATTTATAATTGTTATTTATTCCATCACTAGTGTTTTTTTTGATAAACTTTGGTCTCGTGTAGGTTACGGTCAATGTACCATAATTAAATAATAGGTCATCACGTTTTACACCTTACAATTTCTTATCATATAACTATGACGTGGCTAACAGAGCGTTAAAGTTAAATAATTATGGTAAAACATGTATTGTTTGAACGACTTGTGTAATTGTAATATATGAAATTCAATGTTATTTTCATTGTAACCTCATCGAAAATGTGTTGTCCGCCAAAAGGGAGCTGGCATGAGGTGGAGAATACACAGTTCTATAGGGTCGCACGTGACTATAGAGTAATAGGCTTGAATTAAATTGCCAAAGAATTTAGCATGCAAAACACAAATTTGATTACAGTGCTGTCTATGTGTAGCCAATGCGGGTTCGACACTCGACGTTGCAGCCGAAGACATAATACTAATAGTAAGGAACGGAGTGGATGCACATATTGTAAAATGATAACCCGCACTTGCCAACCCCATAAATACGTTATTACCGCGTATTCTGTTTGTATTAAAGGCAGAAGGCCAATTTTGTTTTTATTTCCATTCGGCACAACTCTTTTGGTATTCCGACCGTGCGAGAATATAATAATAAAAGCCCATGAAAATATATTATGTAAATACCGTCGAACCCAAAATATGGCCGCAAAACACCCTCCTTGCCGGTTTTTATCAGTTGTTTAGATTAAACTAATAAAAAAAAAAACACCTTTCAGCATATACAATTACTATCTTCTCCGTCGAGGTTACGTTTATTGCTTAGTGAAAGACTTTAAGCTTTTCATTTACAAAAGAACAACATAGAACAACAATATGAAACATTATCATTGTCAAATAAAAAATAATTTTTGGAAATTGAGAATGAAAATTGAAAAAAAAACACACCTGTTACTGCTCGAAGCTTCATAATAGTTACTTCTTATTTGGTCGAGATTTAGTAATTGAAAGATTGAAGAGTTGGCTGAAAATAAGCTCGCATTCGATTTCAATATTTGTGAATGTGAGAAAGTATATTATCTTTGAAATATAACGTTCAGCTGTTGCAGACAAGGCTGATATAGTGCCTTTAAAGTTTGATATAAGTTTGGAAAACTCAAGTTTACTCGAGTGCAAAATATAGAAAGTACGGTCTTCAATATTAATAATATTTTCACTGCTTATGTTTGAATTGAATAATTCATTAGTGTAGCTTGATGTATTTAATAAGTATATAATTCACCTAAACTACTACCGAATTGGACCGAATTCTGTTCTGTTAAATTTGCTGTATGATTTTCTGATTCATACTAAATCACAAGACCTTTGGTAATTATTATATTAAATGTTAGCGTTTTGCACACGTCTAGTCCGTTAGGTTAGACGCATAAAAAAATATAATTGCCATAGAAATCTAAAGTTCAGCTGATAAAACTGATGTTTCGGTCGTTATCCAAGTGTGTTATTGCGGTTGTACTGTGGTCGACTGGTTTCCATGTCGGTCGAAATTCATAATAATAATAACGTGCAGGTTAGGTATAAGTGTGTATATTACATATTATTGTATCGCAATCACACGCTTTGTTGACTTTTGCCGATTGCATTGTATATAATAATTAATAATGTTCGACGAGGCTTATAATGTATGCATGGCAAAACAAATAATAATATGCGTTCCTTCATAGAATTCACGGTCGTTAATATTTATATTTTAACGTTATGTTTTACATCATACAACTTAATAGTTTTAAAATATAATACAGCGTGGAAGATAACAATGAACGTTGAATTGTGCATTATATATTTATTAAAATTATCTATTAGCATAGATTGTTTTTTAGCACTAGTTTTAAAATGCAATTTATGTGGCAAAAAGTTTAAGTCGTTTGCACAATCGTTGGGCGAACAATGGTGGACATTCGGTTTTATAGTTATTGTAGGTGGTTTCAATTTTCAAAGTTTTCAAATTAAGTTCCTACCCAACCTAACCGAGCTGTGCCATTGTTTATGTATCATTTCCAGCATAGAATTGGCTTATAAACGCTTCGATTGGATAAGAAAGTCTATTAAATACATTATGCACAATGCTGGAAATGAAATTCAATGGCAGTGTCGATAAAAAAAATTATATATTAAGTCATTATTTAAGTAGTATTATAATAGTATTTGCGCATTTAACAGCTTTTATATCAACTGCATTTTCAGACATTAAATTTAAAAAAAGGGTCTCCAGAAAACAACACAAAAACAACTACTTGATTTTGTTTTATTCAGTTAAAACTTGAAAGAAAAACCAATTGGCAGTCCCATCCAGATCCAAGTTCGTTCTGATGGTTTTTACACCATTCTACCGATATTATGGAGATATTAAAATAGACAATCATGGTGGCTTGTCATAGCGCAAACAGCACTATCCAAAGGACGGTAAAACGACATTAAACGAGAATTCACTGTATACCTTTTAGTGGGAAACAAGGAAAAACTTTTTAAACCTCAAAACTTGCATGAAATACAACTGGCATGACCGTTCCAAGTGTGGTACAAAACTTGCGGGTGTAACAGCTTGCAAATAAACAAAAAAGATACATAAAGCGAAACTACCTTCTCAACACCTTTTACATGTATATTTTAACGACAGTAAGTGAAAAATCCGAGAAAACGCGTTTAAGACTATACTTTCCTTAGGTTTTGGACAGCAAAGAAACAGTGTCGTATTGAGATTTTGTTTATGTGAACTCAGTTTATCTTTGACCCGCCTAGTTTGGCTAGCATAATGTTTTTATCCCCCAAAAAGTTTAACAGTAAAAAAAATACTCTTCAATAAACCTAACCGCATTTTCCGCCGGTGACTTTTTTGAGAGGTTTTATTGGAGAGTTTATTTTGTCCGTACGATACCGTCGACCGGATGCAGACCGCAATTGGAAACATACAGCTACTTGGGAAATAAATTAAAACCTTAAGCCCGCCGTTGTTCCTACTACAGTATAGAAACACATAAGCCCCCGGATATGTGCGGGGGATCTGCCAACAGGTTATCTGCGTAATGATCCGTGTAAAGCACCACGGGGCCAGCCTATCAGGACTTGAACCAGAATTGATATATATTTTCAAACATCCCCCCCCCCCCCAATATGGGCGGCTTATCATGCCCACATACCTGACTACACACACATGCACACTGCTGTGGATGTATATAATCTGACCAGCGTCCTTTTATCCGGGCCTTTCTCCGCCACTATTGGTAGGTATATATATGTTTGTATACTCGACATGATCTA